CTATCCACGTTTCTCCCTACTTTTTTATGGGCAACACTAATGTGCCTCCCATTTTTCCGAGGGTTTTCTTATAACATCTGTAATGCTTCCTGTACTTCTTACAGTATCCCTAGCTGTTCACTTCAAAAACTGTAAAACCTCTGTTCTCTTGCTGTTCAAGAAGCTACCCTTCAGCAATCCACATTGCACAGGCTTCTAAAAAGAACGCTGATGATGCTACCATTAATAGCATTAGCAATGTTCAAAAGGTCCAAGGTAATTTTAACCTCAAAATCTTTACTATGGTTATGATTTAACCCCACAGTTACTACATAAACCCGTGAAGTAAATCTGAGGGACAACTCATAGGAAGAGTCATAAAATTTGCACTAGCAATTATGCTCTTCCATGATCTGAGTCAGTTTTTAATGAGTCATAAGCAACAAAGAACTTTGAACAGCAGTTTTTACGCCTTCAGAGACTGTGGTCCCAGAACTCAGTGATTTGACGTGAAGCAGTAACTTCATAAATTCTTTCAAGCTGCTATATCAATGCAGACCTTATTACATACTGCTTATCCGTGTCCATTAGAATAATGGTACCGCACAGCTTAACAACCTTATAAAGATTTTTTTTTCCAGATATAAAGCTCTTCTAAATCCTAAGTAACATTATAACTGTGTTTAGAAATAAAGTAATTCATAATTATCAACCTCCATTAAATCTTAGTGAAACTAAAACCTTGAAATAACTCAAACCTCACAGAAACGCATGAGAAACATTCGATTTCTGAGAAAGCAAAACTCAGTTTCACAGCTAGACAGGGAAAGATGAGAAACACACTCACTGAAGAGCCTTCTCATCCTCCAATTGAAAGAATAAAAACCTCCTTAAAACAAAACAAAGCAATACCAGTAAGGGTGGCAGAAGTCCCACTTTTAGGTTTAAATGCTGTTCCCTGCTGTAAAATGCACATTTCGGCTCACGAGTAGGATTCTCCACTTCCTGCTAACCAGCGTCAGCAGTCAATCTAAATCCATCAGCCAAACCATATTACAGGACAGCAAATAAAAATTATTTTCTCCAGAAACCAAACAGCTCTCACTACTTCATTAGTTCCTCACACTCTCTCTTTTAAGGAGAGCATGACTGAAGCTGCTAGGGTTATTATAGCTATTCTTACATACTAAAATTGTGAGCATGACAACACAAAAATTCTCTCATGAAACTTTATTTGAATCACTCATTCAAAAGAGGAAAAATCCACTCTTTCAAAATTATACACTGTCTTTGGCAAGGGGAAAAACAGCTAGAGGGAACAATAAAACACTTTTATGACACTATTTTTTGTATTAGATTTGTCCCTGGGCTATAAAAGAAAAGTAGCACGCATGCTGTAAGAAAAATGACTGATTCTCAAAAAAGTAGTAGAAAATATAGTTTATTACACAATGATCCTTTGTAAAGTTTTAAATTCACCTGAAATTTCTGTAAGCCTAAAAAGAGAGCTTAGTAACACCACACTGTCCTGCTG